TAGATTAAAAGGAAAAAGCTTACTAGGAAAAATAAATAAATAAATAAATAAAATAAGCAGACAGCCCAGAAGCCATCCTGTATCAATCCTTAAAGGGCAGAGCAGCAAGATGCTCTGGCACTTGATAGCGTTACCTGCATCCCACAGCAATACTTTCTGCTGAGTCAGGATCAGCCTTGACATGCTCAGAACCACCTACTTTTCAATTCTCCTCTCCTGCTTTCTTTTTCTCTCCCTAAGTATCTTCTGAAGGAATGAGCTAAATCAGTTCATTTTCCTTTAGTTTCCTTCTGTCCCCTCTCCCATGTATTTTTCATCTGCTTCTTCCACTTGGCCTGATTTCTTTAATGTCCTCTTCCTTCTTTACTAACCTGCTTCATTCCTCCTTACACACAATTTTCTAAAAAGCGTGCAGCTGTACCACATAGACCAAACACGTACATGTAACAATCCAGCGTCAGCACTGCTGTTTAAACTCAGTTCTGGCTGAGTAAGGGTTTCTGCTAGGGTTGAATCAATGTGGAAAGGCCCACCAAGGATGTTCTAGTCAGATTTAAACACACACATGCACAGGGACACACAGGCTCTTGGCCAAATGGCTGTCTGTCTAAAATACATTCTAATATGGCTTATGCCCATCCAGAAAGGCTGGGTACACACCACTGTAGTATTTGTTTAAACTGTGGTTGTTAAATGCATTTTATTTGCTCTGGGCAAATGATGCCTTTGTTTTCTCCTCACGCAGCCTTCGTGTGGCATATACCTGGATAAACTTACCCCCGGCAGGCCCAGCCACCTTGGAGTGTCCCCTCAAGTGGCTCTCTGTTCATACGGCCGTGAAGAGACTCTCTTGCATGCTCCTGCCTCTTTCCTTTGTCCCTGTTTTATAACTGCACCAGTGCAGGACTTCGAAGACACAAATGCTGCCTCAGATCTTCTTTCAGCTTTGCTTACCATGCAGCCAGAAGCTAAAGGACGTGGCTGATCTCAAGACGCCCAGCTCAATTCTCTGCTATGCCCCTTGTCTTTGTATGTGGCTTTAACCACATTACACAGCATCTTCTTTCCTACCAATCAAGCCATCTTTACCAAGGGCAAAACTACACAACTCTTGATTTCCTTGGAAACAGGGATGGCTTAATTGCACTGACAGTGTCTTGAAATCCTCAGGTGGGTAAAATGTTTATTCCACCCCGAGCTGCATCGCTGCATGGTATTAACATGCACGGCCTCTTACCTGCTTCTCACTCACCTCCCTGCAGTTCCCTCAAGACATCAAGTGGCAAAAAATAGAAGGAAAATCCTTTTCCTCCCTGGAACTCCTTTTTATTCCACAATTTATTTTCATGAGATGCCTCAACCTCGGAAAGGTAATCCTGCCTGCGGTGCTGAGCAACTGTGACTCACACTGAAATTAATGGAGGTGGAGAGCAGGCATCTTGTGGCAGAGACCAGGCTTTAACCTTGTATTTACAATTTCAACATTTGACAGGCTTGTCTTGAAATGGAAGAAGTGCATCATTTACTGAACAACTTCAACACATTTCATCAAATTACTCCAAGAACAGTATGTCCATACAAGGGAATTCTACCTTTAAAAGGCTATTTTAAAGGAAGTCTAGTTGTAAACAAAAACTTAAATCTGTATTAACTTCAAAGCTTAAAAGGGAAGGCAGCAAAGCACCTGTCAAGACAGGGAGATCCTAATCTCCCCTCCCAGGACAATTCCCCTACCTCCAGCTTTTGGTTCCCTGCACACAGAATGATTGTGCCCAACTAAACGTCCTTCCATCCAGGGCAACCCAGACAGCAATTCTAAGGAGGCTGAAGCCAATGAATCCAGGTACCCTCTGACAACTCAGAAAGGAAGATCAAAGGCAAACTTACAACAAAGCAGCAGGTAAATTCAGGTGGCAGTTCTCAGACCTGCTCGATTCAGAATAGCATGGCGACTGTGTGCATTCATGCAGCTGTGGCGCATCGTAACGACTTCCCGGCCCGGGTTTGGGACGACCTGCGTAACTCCCATGTGCTGAATTCTGCAGGTCACTGAGAACAAAGGTCAGCCAAACCTTTTTGCCACCCCGTGATGTATTTTAGATATGCCAGATGTTTTACAGAACTGTGTGGCAATTTAGGTCACTTAAATACATGCAACCTTTTTCTGTGCCGACACACAAACACACAAATTACTTCTCTGCCACACAGCGTAACGCATGTTGTTTTCTTCTGAACTAGCTGGATGAGCACAATGTCTGGCACTTGGACTAACCATTTAATCTGCAAAAGCAAAACTTCTGTCCCCAGGAGGAACTACTGCTGTTTCTGCCAGGAGAGAGCTAAACTGAAGGGAAAAAACAGTTAAGCTGAGGAAGCCCAAAAAAAGCGTACTTGTTGACATAAAAATAGGACCGCTATTTTATTCTATGCATTGAAAGTTCCAATTCTTTTTTTAAGATAGGGATTCTAACTTCGAAAGGTGTTTGCACCCTTAGCTGCGGCTGTGCAGAGGCGTTGTTCACATGGCTCTTAATTAAGGCTTGTGTCAGCACTTCCATTACAAACCTCTGCCTTTTAGGAGCTTATAACTCAGCCATAAAACTTTGCTCTAGGCTGAAATTTATCATGAAAGGGTCTGCCTGGAAGGAATCCATTTCTTTCGTATTTGAAAGTCCCAAAAGCTTATAGCAACAAACCAGGGATTTTACTCGAAAGGCTGCCACACAAAAAACTTCAGCTGTTTTTACAGGAGTGCCGGGTGAGCTGTGCCTTCTAGATGCTTACTGATCAGGGCGGGGTTCTGTATTCTTAGCACTGTAAATTTTAGGAATTACAGGGTTTTATGCTTCAGGGACAACGTCTGTGCTTACTTAAACACCAGTGAATCCCTCTGCCCTCACTCGTTCCCCGCTGGAGCATGACCCAGTACAGATTTCCCACCCTTCGCTCCCCAGTGCCTCCACTGAGCCCCGTGAGGATGCCAAGGCTTCATTCATACTCCAGTACTCCGTCAAACAGAGATGGACTTGTCTCTCCAGGTGCACGGTTTAGGCTGTGACCTTCACACACCAATGCTGCCAACAGACCAGTCCAAACTGACCTCAGGTTAGGGTAGCGAGGGAGTGGGTGTGTGGGAAGGGGTTAAAATAACAGAGACAATTTGTCCTTCACTTCTCTGCTGCCCTCTTCCACTCTGGTGCCACAGTTTTTCTGGGGAACACACAGAACAGGGACAGAACTTGTCAACACTGCATTTGAAGGGCATGCGATGGAGATGGAAGTAACTTCTAATACCCTTGCTCCTGTCACTGATGCTTACATTTCCAAAACATTCCGAAGCTTGCAGACACAAGAGAGAAATGCCCACGTCAGCCCCAACACTGAGAGGTATCTGTCTCTCCAAAGCTCTTACACAACGTTCTCTTCAGTAAACACTACATTTGCTGCACTAATTCTTATACACATTAAGTCATGTCACAAAAGTCATCAGATTAAATTATTTGCACTCCCTTGTCCAGACAATCCCATTGCTACAGAGTATGAATTGTTTCTTAAATGTTTGTGAAGTGTCTAGCACACAGTGGGCACTTCCACAAGTAGCAGCAGTAGCAGTAGTCGTATTTTCCTACTGTTTTTAAATCTCTAACTGAACAGGAAGTTTACACAAAGCATCAGAAACTACTTTTAGCAAAACAAAAAAGTTGGACTATTGGTATTTGCAAGCAGATCCAACGGGCCAGATCCCAATTCCTACAGTATCCACATATGTATGGAGCACATACGGAACCAGATTCTGGACTGCTCTGCACCCAGTCTACCTCCCCCTGTTCTATGGTCCCCAAGAAGTTTCACAGCTGCACGGGTTAATCTTCCTTCTTTTAGAAAACAAGGAGCACCGGCCAGGCTCAACTATTTCACTCAGATGCAGCAACTGAGCATAAAACAGCAAATTCCAAAATTCCAGTGTACTTTTTCTAGTGCAGAGGCAAATTTCTGCAGCTATATTTTTAAATGGTTAGAAAAGTTTACGTCTACTAGCAACACATAAAGAAAATGCACTATGCTCAGGGTATCAACTGATGCAGAGGTCACAAAGGAATATTCATGTTTGTAACCGGTTATCTTCCATTTACGAATTTCCACCCTCTTAAGGTACGTGTTATTGCAGGGAAGGAGACTTTAAAACCAGTATACCAGACTGGTTTGGCAATCCTTCTCTTCTCACAATTCAGACTTCTATGTCATTTCTTTTATTTATGCTTTGTAAAAAACTTGTCATTTTGTGAATGTCAGCTTCTCCTGCGGTGAATACTCTTCTGCTGCGCTTCCACAGCTGCAGCTCCAGCCATTCACACTGCACACGGCAAAACTGGCTGCAATGCTTCACACCTCAGCACTGCCACTGGACCCCTCCATGCATAAGCTTTTGCGGGGTGTCTCTGTGGTGTCCTATGATCTAAAGCATCTGTCACCCGGTGATTCCTGCCATTCGCAGTCACAGGCTTACCTCTGAAGGCAGCATTGCTTTAAGTTTGCTAAGCACAACGCTGCAACTCCTGAGCGATTCAGGAGCATCAGTCGGTTTGGCCTTCAATGAGCCTTGTGTTCAAAGCATCACTTTTGCAAATGCGATGCAGAATCCCGTGTCTCTCATGTCAGGGAATAGACCTGGGCCACCCCAACCTTGCATTCTCCCAAAAAGGGACCAGAGTAAACATATCAAAACTGATAATGGGCTTTCTTTACAAGTCCAATCAGTTCTCTCTTCCAATGTAAAAGGAAATTCTCTGTTCCAACGCTCCGCCCATAGACAACTTTCCCCAAAATAAAAACAAAAAAAAGCATATGCAGTAACAGGAGAAAGAGGAACAAAGGAGGAAGAAAAACACCCACAGCACTGACAGTCAGAAATGTTCATTTACATCTAACAGCATCCACACGCCAGTAACGTATCATAAACTCTTAGCCTACCATACAAAGAGGGTGCCCCAAAATGGTACCTGCAAGAGGTCTCTCGGAAGGAGATGTTTAAATCCCAGTGGGTGTGTATCCTGTCAACAAACAAACAGAGAGGTCAATGGCACACGCTGAACACTGCATCTCTTGGCACTTAACAGCTCTACTCCATCCTCACAACCCACCCACGGTCCTCAGATTCCCTCTCCCTAGCTCTCAACCACAACCACTCCCTTCTCCGGGCCATGGGGAGCTGCGCTGGGCCACGCTGCGCACACGTGGCGGTCCTGAGGGGCCACAGCAGGACTCACAGTGCTGGCAATGCGACCTGCAGGTGAGCTGCACAGCACTGGGAGCGCTTCTCCCTGCTACATGCAGTCTCCCTGATGGGCGTAGGGACTGCAGGAAGATGTCTCAACTAACAGGACATGCTCAGGGGAAGCAGAAAGAGCTAAGCACTGACATATTCTGAAGAAAACCCAAGTACGTCTGTACCGTACTCCCTCCTCCACACCCGCCCCAGCTGTAAATAAATTATTAGCAATTTCCCGCTTCGGAAATTAATTTCACATATTCTGTCACTCTGCCTGCTGACAAGCAGGAATAGCAGATTCTAAATGAACAATATCTTAAATTAAGACAGAGCAGCCAAGGGGGTTGTTCTTTTGATGGTTCCCCCCCCTCCCCCTCGCTACCACACAGCATCTACACCAGCCCAGAGGGCAAAGGCAGATGCTTGACCTTCTGCGGGCTGGTGTCTCCACTCGACACCAGGGAGCACTGATCTCTCCCACCACCCAGAGGTCTGTGACCACCACTGTTACTTCGTGTCATCGTGATTGATGAGAACCCCAGCCACCTGAGACCAAACTGGCAGGCAAGCCCGTATGCTCGCACAAACCCCACTCCCACATCTCCCAGCGTCTGCCAGTGAACATGCTGGTTCCTAGCTGTGCGTATAAATCAGCTCCTGCAGACACAGGTTCCCAAAAGCATTACACAGACGTGGCTGCAAATACCACAAGAGGCCAAATGCACTTCAGTATACTTTGTGTATCCCTATAGCACTCCTGCCTCTGTCCCCAACCAGAAAAAACAACACTA